GCGTATCCGCTGTTGGGGAATAATCAGGATCCCTCAAAAGAGTACCCTCGAAAAGGCTGGGTCCTATTTGCTTAAGGCCCTGCAACCCTAAAATGCCGAAACCCCTAAACTTCCTCAAAGGGTTGCGGGGGTCTGCAAGCGACCCGAAGCCGATTCAAGGGTCTGAAAGCATATAGGGCATGCATAATCGAAGACTCCTGTACAGTACGTTGGGTTGGCAGGTCATGGGCTATATGTGTATAAATTCAGGTCAATGTTATCTGAGGGATGAAGGAGCAGTATCCCACTCTATATATGTGACTCGGATCTTACCTTACAGACACCGGATGTAAGGCTCTCAGAACAAAGGCAACACTCCGACTTGGTTGGCCTTCACTGCCCCATTTCTCGAACTTGAACGGTTCAGCAAACGCAAGTTCAAGGCTTCGACCCCTGTTCGCAACAACTAGGTTTTAGGGTTTAGGGTTGCTCATGGGAGCAGCACGCTCCCTGGCCTCTCTGGGGTGGTGGTCAAACTCAAACTGGCTGGTGCTCTTCTGGCAGCACCGTTTCTGATCCGCGTAGCCCAAGCCTTCTGCATACCTGAAGTTTTTTGTTGAGGCGTTGGAGCGACAAGGAGAGAGGGTCCAGATTAAGCTCATGACCTCGAAACTCGCATCTTGAAGCAATAAAATGCGCCGTTGAAAACCACAACCTAAACCCCGAACCCCCAATCCGACGGCCATCGAAACACTGCTGGGGCGGCAGCTCATTGGCCTCGCTTCCGTCGCTGTCGCTTTCAGAGGATTCCTGCATCTTTGGGTCAAGGGTTAATACCAATACAACATAAGATATGGCTACTACAAGTGCATTACCTGCTGTATGTATGCTCTGCAGCATGGCAGGGAAGGGTGCAAGGCATGGGGGTTAGATAGTTCCCTAAGTTAAGGTCTAACACTCGATTGAGACCCCAGCTTAGATCCCATGTAGAGGACAAACTGTGTGCATATTGATTTCCATGTCGCCACGAGGCTTGCATCGTGAGCCCTCATCTGTCAGTCACTGGACCGGGAAACCCACGAAACCACAGGTGCCAAACCCGAGAAACACAAGCTCCATGTGTACTTGACAGGGTTGCTAGATGTCGTGGGGATGGGGTTGCTACAACTTGTAACATGTACAGTGTGCGTAGGGAGCAACGGGGGGAGCATTACCACGCGACACTTCGACCCTAATCGAAGTTTCACAACTACTAGTGCTAAAATCCTCTGGTTGAGACCTACAAACCGCAAGAAAGAAACAATTGAACCCTTTTTGAACCGAGACTCTGCCAATCANNNAACCCTAAACCCCAAACCCACAAAAAGTCCTCGGATCGCCGCGTAGTCTCCGAGTCCGTTTCTTCCACGAGGGCCTTGCGCTTCGAGTGGCCCAAGACGAGGCTCCTGAAGCTATCAAATACTTGTATACTGTTGTAATCTCTTATTAATATTCGGGAAGAAAAGGAACGGAGGTCCGAATCCACTACGACTAGTTGCGCAACGACGGTTTTCCCNNTTTCCCCCCCCCCCCCCCCGCCCCATGTCACCCGTCACCCGCCCACCCCAAACTCTTGACCCTGACCGAATCGCATGCCTTCAAAAGGCTTGAGGCCCGGGTCCTCAGCAAGCCCTTCTGCGAGGCACAGAGCTGCTTCGGGACGAGGACCGTCGCCATGGGATTTAAGGGTTTAGGGTTTAGGGTTTGGGGTAGGGTTTAGGGTTTAGGGTTTAGGGGTTTGGGGTTTTAAGAGCTACAGAAAGGCCGCATAGGGCTCCAGGGGGGCCTTAACTGCGGCTTCAGAGTTGAAGCTGCGCGCTTCTGGCAAAGCATGGACGTCGACCTGGTCACATTCCTCATCAAAGGCTCAGAGATAAGCTGGACAAAAGGGGGCAGTAAGTCAGTAAGTTGCAAACGGCCACTTGAAGTCTATACTTGCAACATCTCTTGTACGCATCGTGGGCATGTTTGAGACTGCAGCTGCAGTGACGTTCGTTGTGCGGCTGACTTCCCATAAGTAATGAGTACGGGCTAGGGCAGGGCCTACGGCAGACCCATGCCTATACACTCCGACACTCTGAACCCCAAGCCATGACCTGAAGACCAAACTTTAAACAATTTAAACTCGCAGATGGGAGACCATAAGTTCCAAGCGATGCCGCTCTAAGCCAGTAACTCAAAACCCAGAAAACTCTGCACGCATACCGTTCTTTCACCCAGCCCACAATCCGCAAATCCTGTCCTGAAAGAACCTCTGCGATCCGACCAACGCTTGAACTTGTCATCCCCAAGCCCGCCGACTCTAGACCGTGTCGAGCCGAGCTCACTGCCTCAGCGCAGTGGTCGCGCGTCCGGGCGCCAGAAGCTTACGGTGCCGAGCCGAAAAGCAAGCGGGAGAAGGTCGAAGTTCGGGGTGTGCAGGACCTTGTCATGGTGGTTACATACGCTTCAGGATTTGCGGGTTGCCTGGGTTTTTCAAGATTTTTTAAGTGGGTCATGTCGGTTGAAGGAAGTTCGAGGATTCTCTGTTGCAGGGTTGGGGGGCCTGCAGCAAAAAGGCCTCTATATATCTCTAAGAACGAATTCCGTGTCTTCAAATCTCTAGATTTCAAACCTCAATCTGTCGGGCCTGCAGCGTCGGTGGTCGTTGTTTCGTTGCCGGCATGAGGAAAAAGTCGTAGTTTGTGGTCTTGGGGCCCTGGAGGATGGGCGTTGATTGGACTTCCGGCGTGCCTTTGATAGAGGATACCATGCAGGGACAGAAAGTCTTGAGTTTAGACTACAGAAATCCGCACTGCGGCCCCGTTCCGTGCGAGTCCTTTAGCCCCGGCAATGCTCCTTCTGTGCATTGGCGACATGGCCAAACCGTATCAAATCGAGCCCCGTGGCGCTGATCATGCATCTTCAAACTATGTCGAACCCAACATCCAGACTCGTTAGCTACTACAGACATTGAACCTCCCCCAGACTGAGCTGAGGAATTGCTTGGGAGCTGTGAACCAGATCCCGGCCACACGATCAGCGTCCACAAATTCCCAAACATCTGGGGCATCACGGATCTGTCCGTCGGTACTGGGCAGCCCCCTCAACACCAAGAATTTCGGCTACTTTCGCCGTTCTTGGGGGGGGACTTACTGGCGTTGAAACTGCCACGCCCCTCGGGAGCATGAATCCTCTTCGGGACTTCCACGAATTTTGGAAACGTACAATTTTACTGCCGAAGGCGAGGATGGCTCTTACCGAACATCCGTCTTGACAACATCATAGAATATCCGGCTTATGGAAGCGGACAGCCAATCAAGATGTCGCGATGCACTGCCGGCAAGCCATACAAAGCCCCAGGCTTCTTGCAGACGAGGACTGCCTAGAGACATGCACCTTGATCACCGCACCCTCCCCGGAACCAACCATTCACCTGTGAAGTGTGAGCTCCTGCTTGTAAGATCCACCGGGATGCGGTGCTTGGCCAATGCCATCTTCCTAACAAAGGACATGGCAGCATCGTAGCCATGCCTCGCACACCACTTATTGGGGTCTGGAACACACGAAGATTCGCTTCCCTGCACATATATGTCAGGCGGGGACGGTCTGCAACTGCGGATTTGTTCCATCGACTTCACACACCAGGGGGCATGCCGCCGGTTAGAGGCTAAGACTTTAACGAGGCGGTGAAGGAAACATCTGCTTTGCGGCCAGTGGCCGGCGTTTACGAGTCACTCAGGCAAGAACATGGTGGCAATGTGCGGGAAAGGCCAGATGTGAATGCGAGAGCAGCTGTCGATGCTGCCGCTACCTCCTCGGAACCATGCAAACACCGTTTCACATAGCAGGCATGCGACAATGTCGAGATGCTCCGACATGCATTTGTCAAGACCTCCATGTTTGTCCGGAATCTGAGCAGAAGTATACAAACGGTCAATGCTGTCATGTTGTAATATGCAACTACAGCGTTAAACGAACCCCTCAAGCGCTTTAACCATGCAACGCCCCTGCAGTAAACGCTTGCCGTTCGGACTATGCTATCTCGAAACGCGTGGAATGCTACCTACCCAGTCGAGCCGCAAGGCTCCCTGAGGTTCCTTAAGATAGGGGCCTTAATACTTACCTATAATCTTTTGGGAGCTCCTTACTATAATTCTGGTTTAATATACCCCAAAACCCTATTCTAATTATTCAGGCCCCTACATAATTGTGCAAAGATCCAAGGGTTTGAACCCTTGAATTTTCAGGCTTCAGGCATTTAGACGAAGGTCTCTGGCGCAAAGACATGCAACAACAAATCCCTTTCACCCTACTTAAACAAACAATCATAGCCCAAACGATGCCCCGGAAAGAAGTCATGGTCGCACGCTGCCCACTGCAGGCCCGAGATCCGATTACGGCTCCGGCCTGAACTTTGCTCCTGATGTACGGGCTTCTACTTTTTGTTGCGGCCTAGACTGACTCCGTTTTTCTGTGGCGCCTTGGAAGAACATTAGACAGAACCACATATAATTCGCAGAGGTCTCTGAAGCGTGTCTGGGATTTGCGGGGCATCCAAAACGACAGCCACAGCCTATGTCAACCACCAGCGCCCACGACGTACAAAGGTTCTGTTCCATGAGCTTCAGGGTTCTACTGCTCCCATGAAAGCGACAGGACGTGTATCCTTCATGGAGCTGGCCAAGGGTCTGATAGGGCTTGCTGCTTCCGGCGAGTAAGGCTAGGGTGTCAGAAATGTCAACTTTTAGCTTTAAGGGTCTTGTAAGGTTAGGGACAGGGATTATAGGGCTTGTAATTAAAGGCTCAGGGCTTGTAGGATCCACTTGACGACCGAAAGGCTGGTCCCGTGTTATCACCTCTGGCTTGAGACCCCTACGCCCTATCAGATATTCGGCCCGGAGGAAGGATCCTAGTCACACACTTTCCTCGCTTTCTCGAAACTCCGGAAATCCCTACATCAAAGAGTCATATAGGTCGAAGAATATCGTAGATCAGACTCAAAATCCCAGGACTGAACCCCACGATCCTCAGCCCAAGAGCGCCACGACCCATCATCCTAGGCCCAAACTTGTCAATGCAGGCCAGTTGGGCGCAACATAAACTTACCAAGACCGGCTCTTGTACATCTGTTCTAGTAAGCTGAATTCTATTTGGAGCCCATGTAATTAACATCAAAACCCTTTGCCCGTGCATCTGAGGAAGCGCCAAACACTGGCCAATTTGGGCAGGTCTCTTCGCATGCCAGGCCTTAGCCCGAAAAGGGCTGCTTTTAAGGGTGCTCTGTTCAGGGGTGTGCTGTGCTTCAATGTTTGAGGGCTTATGCCAAGACTTGGCGCTAGCTGGGGAGCTTCTCTCAAAACCGATCGTGATTCTGCAGTTTTCTGTGGTTGTCTTTGAGTGCGTTGGAACTTGCATGCCCTGTATGGGTGCGGGAAGGCTTATGCGTGTCGTGAAGGGCATTTTTATTCTGGAATTGGTTTTATCATCGGGTTTGCGGCTGATGCAACACCTGTGTGTCAGCTTGGTGGTATACCTATAGTCTCCATTGTAGTTCCTTTTGGGGGTTACCTTATAGGATCCTAAATATATAACTGGTTAAACCAAAACAAGGAACTACAATGGAGACTATAGGTATCACACCACCGAACATGCAGGGCCTGAAGACGAGCTCTTGACCGGGTTGGGCTCCCACGACTCGGGCTGCTCTCACTGGAACAGGCCATTTCGTAATGCGTCATAATTGACAAGCATCAGTACTGGCCAGAACTGGCAGACCGTGGGCGTAAGGTAGAAGCTATATCAATTCTGGGGCACCATGGCTTGATAAATATCGTGTTAACACTCGTGAAAGCCTTTGGTGAAGTGGTGGGCATCAGTGCGTTCGCAGCTCTGCTCCCGGCAAACCCTACCATACCCTACATGTTGTGAACAGGGATTTTCTTGTTATAGTAACATCCTCGGGGCAAGGGCGAAGGCGACTGCAGTGCGATGTGCATGTCTGCATGATTGAGAACCTCCACTACGAGGCAAGCACCAAAGAACCCCTACCAAGGACAGAAACATGCCCAAAGTCTGCAAGCGAGGCGCACGCTGTCCCCCCAGCATTGTAGGGGCTGAAGTCCAAGCAGCAACTACGGCTACTTGCCCGAAGCTACCCTCGCACTTGCCGGCACCTGGGTCTTTCAAGGCCTTCTCGAAGCTCGCGACTGACCGGGTGTGGTAGCTGTTCTGAATAATCCAATGTGCCAGGCACGCGGCGCGAGTCGGAGCACAAAGTGCGCTTCCGATACGATACAAATGAATAGCCAGTTTCACTGGCCCCCCAGGAAGTATTCATCCTTGCACCCTCTTCGGTCTTCAAGGGCATCGTATCTACTTGCGATTCGCCCAATGCCAGGATGAATACTTCGTTTGAGCTTGCGGGTGACAAAATCCACCATCTCGTCATCGAGATTGCAGGCTCAAAAGATCATCTCGGAGTCGCCACTCTTTGCTAAAACCTTCCCGGTCGGCCAAGGATTTAAGTACACCCCAATGGAGACACTGGGCTGGAGACCCCCGACAAGGTTTGAGTGAAGAAGCCGGCAACCAGCGCCAGGCGTCGCGCCTTATGGCTCTGTGCAGCAACAGTAGGAAACTGTAAAACTCATGCGGAAGCTTATCATCACTCCTGTAACAGTGCTGGTCCACTCGCCTGCCTGCACCAGTTAGTTTCAATCTCAGTTCCATCGAAGCCTTGTTCGGATTGTTTCGGCCGGCCAAACCAACAAACCCCTGTGAATGGCGACCGCAAGCTGTTCGGCATAGGCTTTCCATCAGCAGCTTCTGTTGAAGCTCTCTCGGATTACGGC